GTTTCTTCTGAAATGCTACACTTTAATATAATTTATCTAACTACCTAAGTGAAAATATGCCAGATGTCCGAGTCTGAATATTAAAAATGATAAATTGTATACCTTGCTCAATTTAATTGGTGGACGTTGGAGGTTAATAGTTGATGCAACTTCCTACGCAACGAGCAAATGTCAGCATCTACATTTTTCATAAATGTGGCTAGAATAAGAATGTCTATAAAACTTTTGAGCTACGAGGTCTGTAAATCAAGTGGCAACGAAGCGTTCGATTTGGCAACGCTGGAGTGGAAGACAGGAGAACATGTGATCCGCCTTCAGTGCAAGTTTGAACTCACTTGAGTCATTTCAGCAGGCCTACGAAGATGATGTTTCGTCAAGAGCCCAACTTTTTCGGTGGTTTAAGGGCGTCGATTGAAGATGAACCAGGAAGCGGAAGGCGTTCATCTTCAAGAACTTGTGCGTTCAGTACGTTGGTCGACAGTCAGAATGATCGGGGAAGAGTTAAATTTGACTCACATCACTTCAAGGGGATTTTTGGGACAGTTGAAAACGTTCAAACGTCTGTAACCGACCAGTAGAAGGCTATTCGTGAATCGAGTTCCAGCACTGCTATGAGGAGTGTGAGAACCATCTCCAGCGCTGTGTAGCTTCATAAGGAAGTTATTTTGAGGGTGAGTATGAAATTGTAATTTAATTTGATTAAATTTTTTTTCAAAAATTAGTCTAATCACTTAATTTACAGATGTCGTATATTAATAAGTAGTATGATTTTATATAAATGACATGAAACTTAAACATGTGTACATGGAGGCGCAAGCAGGCTTTCGAAAAAAATATTCCACAGAAACGGCTTTCCAGTTGGTAACTGAGAATTGGAGAAGGGCCGTAGACTCAGAAGAAGTTGTCATAGCAGTATTTTTGGATTCGAAGGGGGCATTTGAAACGATTGATAGAGATATTTTGTTAGGTAAATTAAAGGCATATGGTATAACAGGAAGTGTTTTATTTGTCTAAAAGGATGCAAGTTACAAAAGTTAATGACACTATTTCATCAAAAATTGAAAATACGTTGGGTGTTCCTCAGGGCAGTATCCTGGGACCACTTCTTTTTATTTTATACATAACTGATTTACCTGCCATAGTCAAAAAAATGCAAAATTCAGATTTTCGCCGATGACACTATGATTTATATAAGTACTAAAAATATTCACTCTGGTATCTCTTATATAAATGAAGACTTGAAACTTGACTCAAAATGGTTAGCATTTAACAGACTAAAATTAAATACAAGTAAAACGAAAGCCTTGTTAATCGGAAAAAAACAATGTACAAATGTTCAACTGAATATTGATGGTGAAGATATTGAATTCGTAGAAAATTTTAAATACCTGGGGGTTTTTGTTGACACTCGATTAATTTTTGATATTCATTATGAAAAAGTTATAAGTAAGATTAGTAGTAAAGTGGGATATTTATCGAGAGTTTCTGGATGTCTGAGTTCATATAGCAGAAAAATTATCTATAATACCATCATTCTTCCAAATTTCTTGTACTGTTCGACTATTCTATATTTAACAAATAATTCCATTTTTTAAAGACTGCAAATTTTACAAAATAAGTGCATGAGAATAATATTAAATAAAGATAATTATACTCCAATTAGGCAAATGCTTAGCAAATTAAAATGGCTCAATGTAAAAATTTTTATCAAATATCTTGTAATGATATTCATTTATAAAGTAAAAAATAATATATTTCCATCAAGTCTAACTAATTTAACATCAAATGTCGACCAACATTTACATAATACCAGAAATAAAGATGCCTTCCATTTAATGACCAAAAAGTATAACATATGCTACAAATCTGTATTCCATCAAGGGTTGATCGAATATAATAAATTATACTCAGAGATAAAAGACCAGAAAACTTTGACAAAATTTAAAGTAAAATTGAGAAATCACTTGTTAAATCTACAATTATAGGTTGCCCAGCATTTACATCATACACAATATGGCTTGAATTTATTAGTTCTAAGTTGTTTACAATTATTCTGTATATGTAGCCAAATGTGCTAAATAAATCTTTCTACTACTACTTGTACAGTCTTAAACCCTACTTTAGGCATTGGTAACAAATCCTATGTCTTACTTTAGTATTCTGCTTTTATTCATGGCTGTACGTTTAATTCTTGGCTCAGTTGAAAAATACCTAAAGGTAACACCCGGCTTTTCCACTCTTTAATTTTCCAGTTTAGTGCCTTACTTCTGTGCGACTATTTTCCTCGTCTTAGTTTCTACCAATCACAAATCCGCAATTTTGAATTACAAATGGACCTTACCTTTGATAACAAGTAATTATGGTCTCCTGGGACACCAGAAAACGACGCTTAACAATTTTTCTGATTTTATTGTCAATAAGTTTTGTAATATAGTTTTTAAACTGTGCTAGTCAGCTTATGTAGTGAAAATGAGTCGTTTTGGCAGTGATTCTTTGACTAATATTGATCTGGCATTAAGAAAAGTGTAACGTACAATACCGTTAAAACCCATTCGTCAATATGGAAACAGTTTAAGTTTCAACCATCAAAGAAATTGTTGTGAAGGTTTCTCACAAGGTTGGGGTGTGTCGCGCATCAGTGTTTAATGTGTTAAGACAATACAAAAAAAACACACCTTTTCTGAGCCAATGACCAGTAAACATCGCAAAAGTATTGTTAAATCATTGGATGAAGCTGATAAGCATGCGATTAGGAGGAAAGTGCACGAATTCTTCTTTAGGAATGAAATACCTACTATAGATAAAGTACTGCAGGAGGTAAATGGAGTTACAACGTTGCCAAATTTCAAACGATCAACTTTCCATGCGTTACTGAAGCATTTAAATTTCAAATGGAAAAAACGGGGTCGTAATAGTTTACTACTGGATAGAGAAGAAATTGTGCTATGGAGGAGGGATTATTTAACAAAAATTGGGAAATATAGAAATCAAAACAGGAAGATTTATTACCTTGATGAAACATGGGTAAACGCAGGACACACTACAAGTAAAGTATTGGTTGATGATTCTGTAACTTCATCCAGGAGGGCCTTTCTAGATGGACTGTCCACCGGATTAAAAAATCCAGCAGGTAAATACGAGTAATAGACAACAATCGGATGTTTTTCAAACCTTGGGAACAAGGTTCTAAACATTAATTCCAGGGGGCAGATAAAACATATTACAAGTAACAAAACTTTTATAACTTTCGATAAAATGCGTGGATGTTTTATTGTCATTTTCATTTGTTAGAACTTTTTTAAGCCATGTTTTTATGTGTTTTCGATATTTCAATAATTTTTTAATATAATCTTAAAATATGTCGAATATTATAAACTTAAAAAAAGTTACTAAGTTTTATATTGTGTACCGTTCCTAATATTTCTAATCATTTTAATTCATACTTTAAGCTTTATCAAGTTATAATTTGTTAATATTAATATTTGCGCGTATTTCAGGTTCCTGATCATTCATTTTTTAGAGGTTTATAACTTTAAATTAAATTGTGAAGCGCTGAGTAATCATACGACGTTCAATATTCTTTCTTTCAATATGACTGAATAATCCCAATTATAGCAATCTGATAATCATGTCTCAATGTTTTTTCGCTGAATGTGATGAAAACATTTGAAAAAGGTTCGCTTATTGAAATAAATCTACACCAGTTAGTACTTCGATTTCCAGGTAAAGGGAAAAGGCTCATTATCTGCCATATTGGCAGTGAGGATGGATTTGTTGTTGACGGTCTGTGGTGCTTTGATTCTAAGAAAACTGGAGATTACCACGAGGAAATGAATGGCGAACCGTTTGAACAGTGGTTTTCAAAAATTTTACCGAACTTAGAGGAAAACGCAGTAATTGTGTTGGATAATGCGCCTTATCATTCTCGAAGAATGGAGAAGGTCCCAACAACGGCTTCAAGGAAAGTTGATGTTCAGAATTGGCTCCGCTCGAAAAATATCAACTTTGAAGAAGCAATGCTGAAAGTACAATTATTAAGAATTGTCAAGGATCACAAGGCGGAATATCAAAAATACGCCATTGACGAAATGGCAGCAAGTCAAAATAAAACTGTGCTCCGTTTACCTCCATACCATTGCGAGCTCAATCCTATTGAGCTCATATGGGCAGAGGTTAAAAATTATATAGCTAAGCACAATACAACTTTTAAATTTTGTGACCTCAAAGGACTTTTCAAAGAAGCACTAGAATTAATAACAGCGCAAAAATGGGAAAACTGTATTAAGCACGTGAAAGACAAAGTTGAAAAGAGAATGTGGGAACTGGACAATATTTTAGAGGAACAAGTCGAGCCATTCATTATTTACGTTGGTGCTTCAGGCACTAGCGATGATGAAAGCTCATCAAGCTCATCTTTCCAATAAAAGATGTCGTTCATCAAATTCGGTAAGTTATAAGTAATTATAAAGCTACTGTATTTTTTAATTAATTATTGACATTTTTGAACCCATTTTGGCAAAACCTATTCAAGAATCTACTTTCTGACAATGTTCAACCATGCACATTTTTTTACGTTTTGAACGTTTTAATTTGGTTACATATTTACCTAGAAATCAAAAAATATACTAATCAATATTCTAAAAGCTATTTTAAGAGATATACGGTTATTTTTAATTTAGGCTAATTTAAACGCCATTTTGAGATTATATTCGACTGTATTTCACCAAACATCAGGCGGCATCCGAAGCTGGAAATCGAAGCGAAAATTTTGAAACCCTTATGTATATTTACATCATTATATATTTCTTGCCCCACCCCCACATGATCCTATATCCATCACCAATCGTATACACATCGAATTGTGCTAATTTACTACAAAGTTACGCAAAGCAGCATCTACTATCTAAAATATGTACTGCGTGACTCTTAATACGTCCCTGCCGAATGTTACAGCGTTCGATGATCACGTGGTCTTGTTTATGTCCGGTCTATCTCTTATCTGAATATACTGTAGTTGTGGAGACGATGTGGAATACCGGTGCAAAAAATGCAAGAGATGATTGTATTTTATGAATAATCTGTTACTTGTCAAATATCATTCAAGCATCTAATCTTTACCTGTGAGAAAAATCGATAAAACACAATGCAAAGTAATATTTTTCAACAAAAAATATGACAGCACCGTATTTTTTCGGAAATATTAGATGCCCTTATGATATTACTTATGAGAATCGAATAAAGGCATGTTATTATTGTAGTTTATCCAGTATTTTCATAGCATTTCCTGAAGATGAAAATAAACATTGTCGAAAGCTTGACATGACCACAGAACAAACTTTCTTTCTGGCTTTCTGCAACCCCAAGATTTCTATTTTTCATTTATATCCGCACATTGTTTTTCACGATGTATTTATCAAGATTCACGTGTACGATGACATAACAACCGTCAAATTAATCCGGCGGATCGAGAATAAAGCCGTGTCCGACCTGCTATAAAGACTCCCACTAAAGGAGCGTTATTGTTCTGGTGTGGTCGATACATATAGACCGGCGATAGGTTTTAGGGCCTTGCGTACGTCGTAAAATGCTGCTTTCGGCTTACCGGAAACGATACTAGAGCCAGAGGTGTACAGCCTTTGGTGGCTTACTTGCCGAGCCGCGCTTTGTGTCGGACACTTTTATTGGTGTGGGTGCTTGTTTGCTGAACGTGCGGTAACATGCTCAGACAAAAGGTCGGTTGCTCACCTGAAACAAAAAAGATACGGTTGTACTTTTATGTTAAGTATATTTGCTTTGCTTTTAACAAAGTAACAGGGTTTTCATAAAGTACCCGAGCGTACATACACCACGCAATTGACATAAAAAATTCCTTCCGAAAATGACGATTAAGGTGGTACCTAACGTCTTATAAAGTCATCATAAGCTAAGCGATATCTATCTTCTGATAATTTTATGGACTTGTATGTACTAATATGATGCGATGCGCCATAGTTTCGAAACATTTCAGCATTTATTTATTCGAAACATATTAATGCTACATGACTATATTTTTTTATCTAGAAACAACTTAACAATATTTACGACTCTACGGGAGAATTTTTTGAAAGATCTTTTTTTGTAAAAGTTGTTTCGACTATACTACAACTATTTAAAACTGTAATGACTCATACGCATGATCAACACGTGATCAGAGCTCGATCCCGGCTTCCTTCCAGTACAGCCGTATAGCGTACGACATATGTCGTTTCTGTGGCTTTGCGGTGGTCAACAGCACAGACAGAGATGGAAATAATGGCTGATTGTTCTCCGCCGGTAGAACCAATGAAATCAAAGACCCGCCTCGACCGGCAGACTCATAGGCGTCGGCAACGCATTGGAACGTGTTTCGTTGAGCGATCGCATATTGTGTGTTTTTATAAGAATTGTTGTGTGATTGTTATTGTTGTGGTTTCTGTGGTTACTGTTTTGGTTATACTTAACCATGGAGAGTACAAATGGCACGAGTGGAAGTACTGAAAGCCAGGGAACAAGTAGACGGCTTCGTAAAGCACTCAAGAGGGACGCGAAAGAAATCGTACTCAACGTGTTCAATTATCTGAACAGAACTAGAAGTATGACAGGCGTTCCAGAGTGGACCATTCGCAGGGTGGTGCATGAAAAGAAGAAAACTGGAGTTACTACTGATCCAAAGTTTAATTTGAAGGGACGAAAGGCCGTTAAATTGGATGACGATAGCAAAATGGCGTTAAGGCGAACCGTACATTCATTCTTCTTTAGGAATGAGATACCAACCCTCACGGCTGTACATGCAGCGATCAAGGAAAATGAAATTATACCCCAAATGAGCGTCGAGGTAATGAGGAAATCCCTGCACGAAATTAATTTTCGTTACGAAACGCGTAATCGGAAGTCAGTATTGATAGAGAGACCTGAAATAGTCGCCTGGCGTCGAAAATACCTACGCGAAATGATTGAATATAGGCGACAAAGCAGAAAAATCTATTATTTGGACGAGACATGGGTAAATGCAGGTCACACAGTTAAAAAAACCTGGATGGACAAAAACGTAGTGAGTAACCGACAAGCAAGCATTGAAGGTTTGTCAACAGGTCTTCGTGGACCGTCAGGGGAAGGTCAAAGATTAATCGTAACTCATATTGGTAGCGATAGTGGCTTTTTAGAAGAGTGTGACTTGATTTTCGTCTTTAAGAAAGGAGGTGATTACCATGACGAAATGAATGCCAGCTGCTTCGAGAGCTGGTTTCAAGGGGTGCTTCAGCGAGTTGAGCCCAACTCTGTGATCCTCATGGATAATGCTTCCTACCATTGTCGTCGAGCCGAACGTGTACCGACTATGGGATCTCGAAAAAGTGACATGCAGCAATGGTTGCGCGAAAAAGGAATCCCGTTTGACGATTCATGTGTGAAAGCGGAATTGTATGAAAAAATTAAACAGCACAAACCTGCGAACATTAGTTACGTGACTGATGAGATGGCCCGTCAATGTGGTGTCACTGTGCTGCGGTTACCGCCCTACCACTGTGAACTGAACCCAATAGAGATCATCTGGGCTCAAGTGAAGGGTTATATTGCGCGCCATAACACAACCTTCAAATTACCAGGCGTTAAGGTTATACTTGAGACTTCCATACAGCTAGTAACGCCCGAAGCTTGGCAGAATGCTATCCGTCATGTTGTGAAGGAAGAAACAAAAATGTGGCAGCTTGACCACCACATCGACACCATCATAGAGCCAGTTAGAGTCAATTTCAACGAGGAAAGCGATAGCGACAGTTTATTACTGTCAGATGTAAGTGGAAGCGACGATGAATAAAGGTAATTCCCAAATTTTTGACTTACAATATGTTTCAAACCACTCTTTATTAAGCATGTGACAAATCTAGTTCACCCATGTTAAACATTCATACCCCGCCTATGAACAGTCGACTACTGGTAGTTAAGTAATGTTCACGTGAACATCGATGAGTCATTACAGTTTTAGATAGTTATAGTATACCTGCGACAACGTTTTTTATTTTGTTTTTGTAAAATGACTAATCGGAATTTTCAATAATAAGCAAAACAATCTTGAAAAAGTACCAGGTTTTCATAAAGTACATTATGACCTATGTAGTATTTGTCTTCTGATGACAGTTTGGACTATGATGCATAGTTTCGAAAAATGTCAGCATTTATTGTAGAAACGTTTTTTCATAACAATCGTGTTCGACTTTGTTACAAAGTGCAGAAATTTTGGTATGCATAAAGGTATCACCGGAAATTTCAAAAGTGTAAAATAAGAAAATCGCTTTATCAAAATGACAAATGATAATGTCCACATGAATTGCTGAATTTAACCTGCTCTACTCGGGAACCGAAAAGGAAGAGACCCGCAAAACACATCGCACGCTCATGCTAACGCGGCATCTTTTCAATGTGACAAAGCTCGCTTAATTCAAAGAAATGCCACCTGAGCATGGGCGTGTGATATGTTTTGCTGCTCTCTTTCTTTTCGGTTTCAGAGTATAGATTTTATTCTTTGAGGACATTTAGGCATTTCATATGTCTATCGACAAGACAAGAATAGATAATGCCATGGATAAGGGATTTCTTACACTAAGACAGCGGCAAACTTATGAAAGTTTCATATTACTTTCCTAAATAATGTCCTTTAGTAAAACAATGCACTTATTTTAAGCATTCAAGCTACGCGTATTTCTTTGATGTTTTAGCTGAGCGACTATTGAGACTTTTCGAAATAGATAATTTTTCGAACAGACAATATTGTTGGACCTAAACTTGAATGAGCTTTAAATCGGGCTTCTTGAATTTTGATCAAATACATTATTAACACACTGTATTGAACAATACGTGAGCACGTATAAAAAATTGTAAACAAAAGGGCAAATAAAGTTCATGTCGATTCTTGCGATTTCGTTAAAATTTCATCAAAATTCGAACGGTACTTTCCAAGTTATAATAGGGGTCAAGGATTAAAATATTTCGCCATTTCAATAACTTATTTCTCGCCACGTGTCGTGGGAAGTAAAATATTTACTATACTGTTTGAATCATTTCGGAATACGTACTACTTTTCATTACACATAGTCTCTAACTGCGGAAGCGTAATAAAACAAACACCTGTGAAATAAGCCACATCCCACAACAGTTAAATCCGCAAAATTATATACAAAGTGACTTTTTATTTGTAGCAAACTTTGGTCTGCGGTTTGCGGTCCCTCACATCTAAAGGCGGTTTTCCACTATACGGACAGATGAGTTTATGTTGTGTTTGTATTTTTTAATACCTGAAAAACAACAAACTAAAAACTCTTGTTTCCATCAACAGGGCTGTGAGAGTTTTGTTTTTGTTATCAATCATTTACCACTGGTTGTCGCGACACAGCCAATTAAACAGTTTTTCTTCAAAAACCACCCAACTCTTGAGAAGAAGCCTTTTCTTACTCTTAGTTAAGGTTGGTTGGTACTGAAGCCTGAAGGGAATTTAATTTATGGGGTCTGAAAAAATAGCTGTGTCTGTAACAATACGTATGTGTCTATAAACTATCCAAGTAAACACGTTAACCGTATATTAATGATTAAAACAGTATTACTTTTTATGTAGAAGAGTAAACGATGGTGCTGCACGATTTTTTGACATTTATCGATAATATCCTTTTTGATTATCTAATGTTGTTCCAAAATGATGACCTTGGATTGCATGGAAACATCTCGCATCATTTCATAGTTTTCTGAGAATGTCTTCATCTGATTTCGAAGAGCTAATTACATACTTCAGAGGTTAAGAGATCGATTAGCAATAACGCTGAGGTTCCTTGCTACTGGGGATAGTTATCAAAGCTTAACGTACTTATAAATTTATCCAGCGTCTCGAAACAAATTTCTTATCTATTAAAAAATACGTTATTTACTTATATGCTAATTAGGATACAAAATTCGTATTTAGACTAGCAAGGCGAAAATAGGAAACACAACACGACCGTTTCCACTAGACAGACTCGAGTTTCAAAACACAGTCTAAACAGTTTTCGAAAAGTTACAGTTTTGTTAAGATGTTTTAGGCTACTCGCTGCTACCATCATATTGTCAGAGGAACATCGTATCATTTTGTTAATTGTCTGACGTTTTGTCACATCACCTTAAGTAAAAACCTTCCTAAAAGCAAGCTCATAAAGTTTATTCTCATCAGCAGACACTCTATGTTTTGTTAGGCACGTGTTTGTGTATTGTTTTTCTTTTGCCCGTTTAGTGGAAAACCACCATAACCAGCCACAACTGTTTGACGCGATCAACGCTTGCTGCGATTGTGTGGTACTGGCATTCGCGTGTCTAGCCGTCTAGACTAGCAAACAGTTGTTTTCTTAGAACCAAATACGCTTCCATGCTGTTTATGATCACATTTAGTTTGCTATTAGTCTGACGAATCGCATGCTGTCTTACCACCGCTCGTACGAATATAATAAATTTGATTACAAGAGAACGAAAAAGGAGCTGTAAATACGGCGTTCATAAGAAAATAATAAAGTTGATGCTGAGAGACGAAACATCAGATTGAAATTCCAATTATGTCTTCTTGTAGAGGAGAAAAAGTAGCAATGTTAATGTGCAATTTATTTTAAAATTCCTCTACGAATAAAGTAAGGAAAAAATTAAGTGATTTGGGAAAATTGAGTAGTACTCAGGAAGTACTTTGAAATTCGAAACTTTCTAAGCGGCATTTTGTT